GGCCAGAGAGAACCCTTCTCCAGGGCTGAGGGTAAGGCATCAGAGGAAGCTGCCGTGACACTAGGACACCGCTGCGGGAAAGAGCGAGTCTCCCCGTTACCTAACCTGGCACGAAGCGCACGCAAGCGAGCCCTCGGCCAAAGTGCACAGAGAACACGCAAGCAGCAGGGTCCGGCAGACACCCACGGCACACGCCCAGAGGGCCACCCAGGGGACGTCAGGGCAGCCACAGGAAGCCCCAGCCAGGAGGTGAACACTTAGGGATTGGTCTTCATCATAGTTCAAAACTTGCAGTGCTCGACACACACCACTGAGAGCACAAGGACAGACGTGGCAACGTGTCTGACACGGGACTCACGCAAATTAGAGTGGTGACTTCTTTCTGTCATCACAGGACAGAAAGCAAGAAATGCCCCCCAGGAGGATGGCCACACCACAATCTCCTTCTCCTCCATTATCCTCTCAGGATTAGGGGCACGCACTCACACGCACCTGGTGTGTTTTATAACCCACGGGGTCCGGGACGCGAACCCTGCAGTTGGCCACATGGGAGAGAGAGAACTCCTACAATTCAGCCTTTATGTTAACGTGCAAAAGGTCTGAAGAAACATGTCACCGTGAAAGTAAGCAGGCTTGGCGGGCTGGCCGTGGCCTGGGGGTGAAGGCAGCAGGCCCCACGTGCCCTGGCAACTTTGACTAGAGCTGGCCGTGAGCTGCGTGTGCGACCAGAGTCTTCATGGGCGGCGACACAGCCAGGCTTCATCAGGGGGCGTTTTCTCCTTCTCTCTGTCCGCCTCTCTCTCTCTGGCAAGCACATGTGCCCTCTGGCAAATTTGAAAAAATAAAGGAAAGAGAAGTTGGCAAAGTACAGCTGTTCCACACGGGGAAGAGGGTCCACGTGAGAGGCCACCGGGGCAATGCCACTGAAATGTGGCGGGCAGAAGACATCAGCACAGAGAGCCAGGACTGCAGCCAGGCTGCAAGGAGAGCTGGCGGGGACCGTGCTGGCTGGTGAGGGTGCCGGGAGCTCGGGAGCGCCAGGACTGCGGCAGCGAGAGGCCACGCCACGCCCACAGCCCCGCGGTCCCACCCTCGTGGCCTGCCCCAGAGAAACGCACGTGACCTTCGCACTGGCATGACCGGCGGGTCTCGCCACCCCTCAGAAGGGCATCTGCAACGAGGCACCGTGGGGGCCATCTCCAGGTGTGCCTGGCGAGCACGGCCCATGGCTGTAAGACCCGCCCATGGGCACTCACTCTCAAATGCAAGGCAATGAGGGGAGGGCTTCATGGCATGTGGGGGCCAGGGCTGGACAGTCCTCCAGCTCTGAGAGGTCACAGCTCACGCCCGGAGACCCCCGGTGTATTTCCTCATGCTGAATTGTATCTCACCCAATGGGTTAAAGCAGAGCTCTCGGACACGGGAGCTCTCAGACATGCAGGGAAGTACCTTACCCCTGCCCGCTCGAGTGAGCCGGGGGGCCAGGGACCACGCAGTCTGGCAAGGACTCCCGGGCAGCCTGGGCAGTGCCTTCGGCCTGCTGGCACTCCCAGGCTGGCACCTGCCTGCCCAGCCCATGCTGCCTGGAGACCCTGCTCAAGAGCGGGGCCCACACAGGTGTGCTGCTCGGCCAGGCCCGGGCTCCTGACCAGCGGGTGCCCCATGTCCAGGTGTCTGGAGTGTCTGGACTGCCCCAGCTTCTCCCTGCACGTGGCAGCCCACAGGGCAGTGCCCGGGGGACGTGGGCAGACCTGGGGAGCTGAGTGGCCCCAGGAGGCAGAAGGAGGGAGCGAGGCCACAGCCTGGCACAGTCCACAGCCAGACTCACCCCTTCTGGGAAAGGGTTAACATGCCAGCGCGTGGCTGGTGTAAACACCAAGGCGTGTCTTTGTCCCCAGTGCCACAGAGCAACATCTGTCAGCTCTGCCTGAACAGCTGCCCGAGGGGCTGGGCCTGCAGGGGAAGGCCTGCAGAGGCGTGATGGGGACAGCCAGGCTGAGGGCCTCCTCCCGTCAGACCCAGCCTAGGCTCTGCCTGGCTGCCCCACCCCTCCCAGAGGACAGGAAGGGAGCCCAGGCAGACATGGACCCCTGTGTGGCACTCTGTCCGCACATCCTTGCCCTGCACCGCTTGCCTGCTCCATCCATCCCCGGCCCTGTGCCCTACTGCGGCCTCAACCAGGATAAGAGAGACCTGCTCAGGTCCCCCTGCCACTCAGACCAGGGCGTCCAGGTGTGCCCAAGGGTCATGCAGCAATGGGGACCACAGGGGCGGACCCCAAGCACGGCCAGCCCTCGCCAATCCCCAGGTGCACAGCCTGGACCAGGGTGGCCCCTGACTCCTGAAGTCACCGCTGAGCCCAGAGGGACCCGGCTCCATGCCACGCTCTCCAGAGACAGGAGGGGCCAGGCAGGACAGAGAGGAGAGGAGGCCACCGTTCAGGCCCAGAATGGGGCTGTGCCTGGCACCGGTCTCCTGCCCCGGGGGCGGGCCTGACATGGCCATCTCCACATCTTCGCCTCTCAACTTGCCCCAGTGTGCGAGCATGCGAGCCTCCCCAGCTGCCAGGCAGGTGCTGTCCGGGTTGCTTGTACTGCTTGCGGGTCAGACCTGTCCCATCTCCCTTCGGTGCTCCCGCCTCCACTGCTCTTACACCTGTGTTGCCCTCGACGTTGGGGGTGCGGCAGGTGCCTGGCCAGCGAGGCCCAGAAATGCCGGGGCGGGGCAGCCTCAGAGGGCGGGCTCTGGACTGCCCACACCAGAGCACCCTGCACCCAGCCTTCTGGCAGCTTCATTCCCACCAGGCTCAAACTGGAACCTGAGCACCCTGATGGGACTGGACACCTCTCAGGCAGCTCCACCTGCTGGACACTGGAGGGGGGGAGGGAGGAGGGAGGAGCAGAGACGGCCGGGCACGGGGCAGGCGGGTTCTCTGTCCGTGTTTCTAAGACAGGAGGCTGAGGACACAGGCCCGGCTGGGACCGGCTCCAACAGAGTGGGTGGGCATGGTGACTGCCCCACTCATCCACACGGTCACACGGCCACATGTGGGCAGGGCCGGCCCTGAAGGCTCCTCAGGCCAACCTTCCGCTTGACAAGTAGAGAAACTGAGGCCAGCGAACCGCAGGGGCTCCTCACAGAACAGTCCAGAACCGGCCGGTCTCAAGATGGCTACCCTACCCAGTCCATGCAGGCTCAGGCAAGGGCCAGCAGGCCGGCCGGCCTCTCGAATGGGTGTGAGGGTGCTCCCTGAGGGCAAAGGGAGCCAGTGACTGGGGGCAGCCCGGCAGGGGTGGGCCCCACAGCTTCCCTCCCCAGCATGCCCTGGTGCCGGCAGCGCCAACTGCCAATAACCTAGATTTTAACCAAGGAACTGCACTCCCCCCTTGCCTGCCCCACTTCTGGGCTTGCCGAGGAGAGGAGCCACGTCCAGAGGACCTGGCCTGCAGCACCTGGAGTCAAAGTGCAGGCTGGCCCCGCCGCCGGCCACCCGCCCAGCCTACCAGCTGGGGGAGCTGGGGGAGCTGGGGGAGGATGGGCCTGGCTGGGACCCCTCAGCACCCAGACCCACTGCCTGGGGAGGTCCTCGCCCTCAGCCCAGGGGACCCCGTGGTATCTGAGCACAGGGGCTAGTGAGAGCTCCAGCCTCCTGACCCCACCCCGCACACTCTGCACGGCCTTTTCACACCACTGTCCCAGTGCAAGGGAGGCCGGGCTGGCCCCGCCGTCAGGCTGCCCTGGCACCAGCACTCTTATCTGTCCTGTCTCCCTCTGTCCTGGACACACCGGCCTGCGGACATGCCGCACAGGGAGGGAGGCCTGGGGCTCCCAGCTCTGTGACCCCTCTGCAGAGCACTGGGGCCGCCGGGCCCTGCCAGAGTGGTGGCACTGGGGACTCACAGATGCTCAGCTGACCAGGGTCTGCCCGGTGACCATGACAGGAAGCCTTGGGGTTCCTGGTAGAAGGGTCTTGGAGCCTCCCCAGTGGCTTCTGGCCCTTCCCTGGCCTCCCAGGTGCTCTCGGCAGGGGCAGGGTCCCCAGAGGTCCTGGCCCTTCCCTGGGGTGCAATCCTGGGTAACCTTGGGGCCGACAGGGGGCCCAAGGTCTCTGTCTCCAGAGCCCAGTTCAGGCTAGCAGGCTGCTTCCGGTGCCAGGAGTGAGTCCAGCCTCTTCCGCAGAAAGAAAACAAACCTTCCCAGCCCAGCTCTAGGCGGTCCAGGACCTGGCGGCCTGCAGCACCTGGATGCCCGGCAATTGTGTTGAAGCAGAGTAACAAGTCCTAGGGCAGCCCAGGGCATGAGCCATCCCAGGAGCCCAGGGTGGTTGGGGCCTGTAGCTCCCTCTCCCACCCCCAGCTTTGCCTGGGGTGAAGGAGTGCATGTGGATGGGAAAGGAGCAGGGAGGGTCCCACCAGGGAAGGGGTCTATGTGGGGGGACGGGGAGATGTCCCCACACTGCCCCTCAGACCTGCATGCAAACCAGCCCAGGTCCCCAGGGACACTGAGCCCAGGCCGGGGCAAACCCTGAACCATCTGTGAGGCCTGCGACCCAGACCCGGACCCGGACCCTGCTGGCTTCTCAGACTGGGACCCCAGAGCTTACAGGTCCCAAGAGAGGGAGCACTCCCCAGCTTGCCAGACCAGAACCCGGGCGCCCACTCAGCTCACAGGCTCACGGGCACCCAACCCAGGCTGGGCTTGGGGGGTACAATGACAGGGCTGGACACGGGGAGGGCAGGGTGAGGAAAAGACTGAGGTGAAAGGGCGAGGCAGCGACCTGCTGCGCCCCGACATGTGTCAGGTGCTTCCGAGATGGGAGACAACAGCCCGAGGGGGCGAGTGCCCGTGCTGAGCCTCCCGAGTTGACCCGGTGATCTCGCCTCACCCAGGGCCAGGCCGGCACGGCCGGTGCCCTTCCCAGGCTCCCTGAGCGTCCCGGCCCCCTGCGCGGCCCGCCTGGGCTGCGATTGCCAGCCAGGCTGTGCCTGCCCGCGCGTTACCTGCATAGCCGCCCGCGGCCCTGATGTACACCTGGCCGCACTGCTCCTCCACCATGGTGTCGTAGGCCTCGTCGTCCTCCTCGTCCGCCTCGTTGTGGTACGAGGCGGGGCTGTCGGTGGTGGGCAGGCTGCTGGCCCCCGGGCTGGTCCGCTCCCCCTGGGGGTAGGGCACCTGCTGGATGCTGGGGATGAGGGTGGCCAGGCTGGGCACCCCGTAGTAAGAGACCCGGGGCAGCTTCAGGGGGGCCACGCCAGCCGCCACTGCGGCTCCGGCTGCCACTGCCACGCCAGCTCCATGGCTTCATGCTTCACGCGGGTCAGCAGCGGGATGGGCACCGAGGGGGACACGGCGTAAGGGGCGGTGGCTGGCTGCAGCTGGTTGCAGGGACTCTGGGGCTCGGAGCCGGCGTCCTCGAGCACAGCGGTCTGCGAGTCGCAGTGGGGCGAGCTCACCTTGAACATGAGGTCAGTGCCACGCTCCACGATGTGCTGGATCTGCAGGAAGCCGGCCGTGTACATGACCACGAGCTGCTCGCTGGCGGCCATGGTCAGCTTGCCCGTGTAGCAGAAGGACAGGATCTGCTGGAAGCAGGCGGGCGGCACAGTGCCCGGCAGCTCGAATGCACTCTTGCTGTTACCGCTGAACAGGTCGCGGAAGTAGAGGCTGCTGGCGGCCAGCACGGCCCGGTGCGCCTTGAAGGCCTGGCCCTTGACCACGATGGACACATCGCAGTAGAGCCCCAGCAGTCGCTGCTCGTTCAGGCAGCCCAGCACGGTGCTCCCGAAGTTGGGGATCTCGATGTGCAGCATCTGGGACATGGCGGCGGGCGCCCACGGGCTCAGGCTCTCAGCGCGGAGCCACCCGGACGGGGCACATCTGCGGGGGACAGAGAGCTCAGTTCCCGGCTAGACCAGTCCCCGGCCAGCAGCCCACCTGCCAAGGGCTGAGAGAACAGGCCCTCCCCCGCTGGATGGGTCCTCGACGGGGGATCCCCAGGTGAGACCGTGGCTGAGGGACAAATGTGCCCAGACCCCAGGCTGCACTGCCTGCCAGGGAGACCCCTCATCCCAGGAGGCTTTACCCCCTGGGCCCCAAGATGCCCCGTCTCAACAGATAAGATGAGGAACAGAGGCCTGAAGCTACAGCCTGCTGGGCAGGGGTGTGCTGGCAGGGGCCCGCAGCAAAGTCCTCTCCCCAGGAAAAAAGTTCGTTGCCCACCTGCAGGGAGCCCCTCAGGGAGCAGGCACGTTTTGGGAACTGCTCTGTCCCTAGTTTGGTTCTCCTTGTTTCTCTCTGAGTAGCCCCTGGCAGGGGGCCCAGGGAGGGGGGCCTGCAGAGATGCCTGAGCCTCCAGGGCAGCGAGGAGGGGGCTGGGCACCCAGAGAAGTGAGCTGAAACTGGCAGAACTCAGCCGGGCTGCTCCGCGCCTCTGTCCTCCTGGGGCAGCTCGGATTCCCCAGCAGGCTCCGGCCAGACCCCGGTCCCAAGTCCCCAGTCCGGGCCCAGGGACGCTGCAGCCAGAGGCCAGAGCAGAGCTGGGGCCGGGTGCAGCCCCACTCACCGACGCCCTCCCTCCCATCCACTCCCTGCTGGCTCAGTCCCAGCGCAGGTACTGAAGGGGTCTCGAGTCCCAGGGGCCAGGGAGCTGGGGCCCAGCGGCCGCTGTTTATCCGGTGCTGACTGGGCAAGGGGGGGCAGGAGCGGCCGGGAAGGCGCTGGCCCAACTCTGCGGGGCCGCACAAAGGGCCGTTGTGTCCCGCGGGAGGAAAGTGCAGGCGGCCGCAGAGGCGCCGGTGGCCGGGCGGAGGGCGGAGCCACCGCGCCAGGAGTTGAGCAGGTGGGCGCCGAGGCCCGCAGTGCCCCCGCAGCAGAGAAGTTGCTGGCCGGCCACCGGTGGTGGGAGACACCTACCTTTGGCCGCTGCGGCTGGCGGC